TCTTATTATGCGTCGGGCGCTATAAGTACATTTATTCAACTCTGCTAAGAGTTTTTCAAAGTCCTCGGATCGAGACCGTTTATTCTGTTTAACTTTAGTACTTATCCAATTATTCGTATAAGGATAAGTACCCACGGGAGGTCGAATGAAGACAAATTTCGACTTCCACTCGGGGACATTGGATGAAAGATCGTCAAGAAAAGTCACGCCGGGACGACGGATCAAACAATGGGCCCCTTTTTGAAGCCGATAACTATAACAGTAATGAAAAAATTCGGCCGAAAAATAATGAAGAACTATACGAGAAACAACGATGAAGGCTATCATGATACAAAGAGCATTGGGAGAAAATTGATTTATTGGGATTTTATACAAGTCACTAATCTCCAAAAGCTCGGTTTGGATGGGAAAGCGTAGGCCAAAAATAACTTGGTCGACAAAGAAAGTATGACAACCCTCAGGAGGACAGGTGAAGTCACTATCGGGACCAGGAGTAATCAACTCCCAATCAGAAGGAAGCCCGCTAAACTGCCGGAAGCTCTCAACTTGGCCCGCAGAGGCGTAAGAAAAAGGGTTTAAGGTGGCTAATTTAGCTAAAGTACAGGCCACTGAAACAGTCTTCCGAGGGTCGAGAGAAGTAACCAAGGACACAGGTACAGGACTAGTACTATACACGGGAATATCTAACAGACTAATGGGAATACCTCGAGGAATTAAGTCGAGGCGAGGAGAGCCTTCTCGAGGACTCCCCACGACTTCCACAAGACCACCGTCCAACAAGGCCTGGTCATATTCGGCCCAGTCGACTTTTGGGGTCAACATACGTGACGAAGAAGGAGAAATGTTAACCATCCTACACCCGGTAATCTCGACTGAGCTCGAATCCTCCTGGTCAAGGCCCCTGTCGATTAATCTGTCGAGGCTGTCGGGCAAAGAACCGGAGTTGGAAGCTAAAGGAAAAGAAACAGGCAAAGATCAGACATGGCGATATGGGTCGACTCCGAAAAAATATAAGAAAAGAAGAAGTCGACTCAGGGAAAGCACGAGAAGAAAAAGAACGAATCGACGGAATAAAGGCCGATAAGAGGTCATAAGCGGTAGCCGAAGTTGCACAATAACAATTTATCTACTTGAAGAATAATTCACACAAGATCTAACATAACATCTCCAAAAAAAAATATAAAGCAAAAAACAAAAAAAAATTTTTTGAAGAACACGAAGAACACGGTGGCACGGAGATCCGAAGAACCCAGAAAGTAGGAGGAAGAGAGAATAAAGTAGATATACTTACACATATCGCCGATCTGAAAGGTGGATAAAGTTCGGCAACCGATAAGAAGAACTCGCCGGAAAGATAGCTGGAGTTTTTTGATTTGCCGGAATTGGAGAAGAAATTGAGGAAAAGTG